GACCAGGAGGCCCATAGGCACATGGCCCGCTGCGGGTGGGCACGTCTGGAGATTATCAGAAAGAACAATGACCTTGCATCACGAATCCACATGGGGCCATTTGTCCCCTAGTTCTAACCACGCTTATACCAGCTAGACCGTAGTGCCATGGAGACAGCGTAGGGTCTGGGTTCAGATCCTGCCTCTGCTCCTTCCTGGATGAACATATGATCTTGGCCAAGATCCTTGTCCTCCTCTGAGCTAGGTTTCATCCACGTAAAGAGAAGCAGTAACCCCTGCTAGACACTGGCTAGCTTGAGTAGCAAATGAAGAAAGATGCCACGTGTGAGCCCCCGGCACGGTCCCTGGGTGCCCAGAACTCGGACCTCTCTCTGCTTATAAGAGGACATACCAGGCGGGGATGCATTGAGCACTGTACATGCACGAGCACATTTCATCTTCACCTTGATACTGGTATGGGTGCTACCAGCATCCCTCTTAGAATCGACTCATTGAATGTTGATGTTAATGATAATGATAAAGTGATAGGAATTCGCTGAACATGGTGACTCACACCTGTAATCCCAGTACTTTGGGAGGCCAAGTCAGGAGGATTGCTTGAGCCCAGGAGTTCAAGACCAACCTGGGCAACATAGTGAGACCAACTAGCTGGATGTGGTGGTGTGTGCCTGCAGTCCCAGCTACTCAGGAGACTGAAGAGGAAGGATCACCTGAGCCCAGGAGGATGAGGCTGTGGTGAGCCATGATTGCATCACAGTCCTTCAGCCTGGATGACAGAGAGACCTTGTTTCTTAAATTTTTTTTAAAAAAACGAACATGTATTGAACACTTACTGTTTATTAAGACTGCACTCAGTGTTCCTCTTGTTCTCATTTAATCTTCTCAGCAGCCCCATGACAGAGATACTGGCATGGAGGCAATACCCCTTGCCCAAGGTCAATCAACCTAGAGGTGGCAGAGCCAGGACTTGAACGCTGGCAGCCTGAGCGTCTCCCATCTGCTGTATTTTCTCTAAGAAGGGAGTTGAGTAACACCACCCCCATCTGGGACCGCCCGCAACCTGAGCCTCCAGCCCTCCAGCAGCCCAGGAAGTAGCCAGAATTCTTGTCCTTACCTTCTCTTTCTCTCTCTTTCCCTCTCTCTCTCCTTAGCTTCCTTCTTTTCTTCCCTTTTTAGTGAGGTATATATAACTTACATAAGCAAAGTGCACAGATCACAAGGTAGAGATGAATTTTCTTGATGAATCTTTACCTGCGTTTTTACCTGGGTAACCATCACCCGATAGAGACAGAACACGTTCCACCACCGCGAAGGTTCCCTTGAGCCCCTGCCAGTCACTAGCCCCCCCATCACTATTCTGATTTCTACTGCCATAGATTATTAACTTTGTTTATTTTGTGTGTGTGTCAGAGTCTTGCTCTGTGGCCCAGGCTGGAGTGCTATCACAGCTTACCGCAGCCTCGACCTCCTGGGCTCAAATGGTCCACCTGCCTCAGCCTCCTGAGTAGCTAGGACTGCAGGTGTGTGCCTGCATGTCTGCATAATTTTTTTATATTTTGTAGAGACGGGGGTCTCACTATGTTGCCCAGGTTGGTCTTGAACTCCTGGGCTCAAGAAACCTGCTGCCTCAGCCTCCCAAAGTGCTGGAATTACAGGCATGAGTCACTGTGCCAGGTCACCAATTTTATTTTCAAACTGCATCAAAAGCTTTTCCAGTTCACAGATGAGGAAACTGAACCCCAGAGAGGTCAAACGACATGTCCCAGGCCTCGCAACTTCTCGGTTGCCGGGCTGGGAGCTGATCCCACACCTGTTTCACGTCCCCGTGGGGTTTCTCATCACTCACACTAGTGACAGGAGGAGTCGGGCCAAGAGTCCTCAAACCGCAGTGAATCCACAAAAAGCATTTCTTTTTCTTCCAGGTGGGCTGATTTCTGGCCGCCCGTTGGCCTTTTAAAATCAGTTCAGCCCCAGCCAATAAAGTCCATCGGCCGTGGCAGGCCCAGGCCCTGGGGTGGCTGTGGGCGGGCTTCTGGCACTGGCTGGGGTGGCAGGAGGCCAGCAGCCCTGGAACACTTGCCTTGGATGCACGGGCGGCTGTAATGACCTCATCAGGCGGCACAGGTGATTGAACCGCGTGTGTCCTGTCCAGGAAGGGGCCCGGGAGCAGCCGGTCCTGGCCTCCCATCACCAGAGCGGCCTGAGTACTGCAGACCAGCCCTGCCCAGCGCCTCAGGCCCCTTGCTCTGGGTGGCCCCCCAGCACTGGGGAGTCTGGCCTCTGCTCATCCTGCGGGGAAAACGGCCATGCCCAGAAGAGGCTTCCTGGGGCCCTGCGGCTGAGCTCACCTCGGTGCCACACCTGGGATGCTCCTTGCTCCTGGCTGGCATCATCCCACAATCTCTCAATGAGGTGGGAAGGCCAGTGGCTTCAAGGGAGAGTCTTGCTGGGCCGGGAAGGGAAGCCGCAGGCGCCCCCTAGGTGACCATTTTGTTAATCACCCTGCAGTTTCATGACTCAACTCTCCGGAGTTGCAGGTGAAGGCGTTGCAGGTGAAGGCCGGAGGGAGAGTGATCGTCTTCTAGCCTGGCCTCCCCTGGGCCTGTCTGCTTCTTTCCTGCTTGCCCGTTTGTTCCCCTGTCTCCACTCCCCACACTCTGTGACCTTCCAGGCCCAGGGTACCCTCACTTCTCCCTTGACCCTGGGCACTGAGGCGAGGGCGGGCAGGCGGCTTGTCTGTGGCCCCCGAATAAGGCGACAGTTGAGATTAACCACTTCCTGCTGTGTACCTTAGGGATGGGGTACACCCTCTCTGAGTCTGGGTCTCCTGGTTTTAAAAAGGAGATCAGGACATTTCACAGGAACAGCTGGGATGACCTGAGTACTCACGTAGTAAACCTTCCCAAACTTAACGAGAGCAGGATGTCTCTAGGAATATCCTTGAGGCCCCCACAAGGAGCCAAGCCCCACAGTATTTCTGAACCCGTCTTTCCTAGTTAACTGAGCACCAGCCTTATCACACCAAATGCTTGTGACACAAACATGGGAGTTAGTTCAAACAGAATTCCCTTGGCATGGCCTGCCCTACTTTTCCTAAGACATGTGGCCATTACAAACTCTTTTTAGAGTCTAATTGGTCAGCATGGGCAAGCCTCCTTTTACAGCCCATGGACTGGACCCAAGGGGCTTAATGAGTGTTCAAATAATCACCGCCCAGTCCCTTAAGCGCTGACTCCTTCAGCTGCTCCAGTGAAATGTCCTGATCCCCATTTTAAAACCAGAAGACAGTCTTAGAGAGGGTGTGTCCCATCCCCAAGGTCACCCAAGGCCTGGCCTTTGGATGTGTTTCCCTCTCCCCATGGGGAGTGATCTGGGAGTCAGACACAGACCGTCATAAGACCCCTGGAGCTCAGCACAGCCTCTGGCGCTTAATAGCACTCCTTCCAGCCCATCCTGTTCCTCCTCCAGAGGCTCATGATGGTCATCTGCCGGCATGGCTCCCTGGCCCGCCCCACCCATTGACAAGTCCCGCCTACTCTGGGCTGCACCCTGCACTCTCCTGCCTCTGCTTCCCATCACTTCCATCTGTACCATCACCTCTTGCCTGGTCTCCCTCCCTCCCGTGGTTCCAACTCACAGCAGCCTAAGGGCATCTGTTAAGGCACAAGCCTGACCATATGGCTGTGCTCAGCGACTAACAGTGTCTGAGCCCACGGTGCTGGCCCCCACCCACTCCGACTGCTCATCTGCCAGACTTCGCACTTAAGCTCCAACCACATGACCTTTCCTCAGTTCCCCCAAAACAAGTTGTGCCTCCCCACCTCCTAGCCTTGGCGCAGGCTGCCGGGATGGTGCCTTCTCGTCCCCCAGACCCCAACACACAGCCACCCTCCCCGAAGGTCCATCATCCCGTGGTCCCTCTCATGGCCCCCTGCAGCTCTGTGCCCAAGTACCGACATAGCTGGTGGCACACATTTATTCAGGAAGTGGGTGAGGTCTGGCTCTCTGTAAGCTCATTGAAGGTAGATACCATGTGTCTGTCTGGTTCATTGCAGTCTCTGGAGCCTGACAGGTAGTAGGCACTCAAAAGTATCTGTTGGCTGGGCATGGTGACTTACGCCTGTAATCCCAACACTATGGGATGCTGAGGCAGGAAGATTGCTTGAGCCCAGGAGCTCAAGGCCAGCCTGGGCAACATGGTGAGATCTTGTCTCTACAAAACAAATACAAAAACTAGTCAGGCATGGTGGTGTGCACCTGCAGTTTAAGCTACTCTACTTGGGAGGCTGAGGCAGAAGGATCTCCTGAGCCCAGGAAGTCGAGGCTGTAGTGAGCCATGATTGTGCCACTGCACTTTAGCCTGGGCAACAGAGTAAGACCCTGACTCAAAAAAAAAAATTTAAATATAGTAAATGTGTGTTATTTTTGGCCGTATCTGTATATCTGTAGTCATTTGTTACAGCAGCCACATGAAACTAGTACAGCTGTAAAGTGGCTTCTCAGAACCGGTCCCAGCCTAGGGCTTGGTGAGGATAGCTCCAGGGCATTTCCCACATCCCAGCTGGAAAGGCAGGATCTCCAGAGAGGAGGCAGTCAGGACTGTGAGCCTGCTGGCACCAGGCCCTGGACCCTTGTAAGGCCCCTGTTTCTCATTTTAGTGCTCAAACTACCCCATTAGTAGTGGTTGGTAGTATCCCCACTCAACAGATGGGTTCACAGGAAACCACAGGAAGTAACAGACTAGGATTTGAGCTTGAGTCGGTCTGACTCCAAACGATGTGCTCTTACCACTGTCTCACTCCTCTTCTGAGAGGTGAGGACACAGTGGAGACTGAGCCCTGCTCTCCTCGTGCCTGGGGGCAGGGGCAGACTTTGCCCAGAGGGGAGCTTGGGTTATATGAGTGGTGGTCACCAAGTGACTATCCCTGGCTATCCCCTGCAGCCAGGATCAGTGGTCCCCCCCATCTGAATAAGGATTTCTATGCTTTTCTCTCCATCAGTGTAAATGAGCTCTACGTTGATGACCCGGACAAGGACAGTGGGGGCAAGATCGACGTTAGCCTGAATATCAGTTTACCCAACCTGCACTGCGAGTGTGAGTATCCCCCATGCGGCTCTCCATCCAGCAGGACCCTTCCCATGGGCAGAGCTGTGTGTGCAGAGATAGCAAGGTGACAGGACAAGCCAAGCAAATAGCATTCCCCCCTCTTTTTCTTTTCTTTTCTTTTTAAAATCAGGGTCTCACTCTCACCCAGGCTGGAGTGCAGTGGCACGACCACGGCTACCTTTGACCTCCTGGGCTCAGGCAATTCTTCTGCCTCAGCCTCCTGAGTAGCTGGGACTACAGGCATGCTAATTTTTTTATTTACTGTAGAGATGAGGTCTTGCTGTGTTGCCCAGACTGGTCTTGAACTCCTGGGCTCAAGCGATCCTCCCTCCTCAGCCTCCCAAAGTGCTGGGGTTATAGGCATGAGCCACTGCGTCGGCCTGTTATCACCCTCCTTCTTTTGAGGAGAATGTAGTGGAGTGTGCACACACTTGGAGTTTTCCTGACATAAAAAGACACTAGAAACTACCTCTGAAGAGGAGCCTCATTGGTGCCAAGAGGTCGAGGCTGTCTCTTGGGTACTGCTTCTTAGCAGCAGAGCCTGAGACTCCCGTGCAAGTGATTTATTGAGAGGAGGCAGCTATTAGGGCATGAGGGACATGGGCTCGGGCAGGGCAGAGAATGAGCTAAGAAGTGTGTTCTGTTGAGTCCCGACTCAGCCTGCTCTCGGGATGCTGTGGGGTGGATGACACCATAGAGTCTGTCCCACCTGGTGGCAGTGGGATCAGGCTGTTGCTATCCGTGTCATTGGCTCATGGCTGCAGCGTGGTGTGTGTGTGTGGGGGGTTCACATAACCTCCTAAGCATATCAAGGCACAAAGGCCTCTAATCAGGAGGGCGCAGCTCTGAGCCTTTAGCAATGACTGTCATGAGAGGGAGCAGCGCTGGCCTCGCCAGCATCTGTTACAGGAGAGCGTCGGGAAGTCTCCTTTTTACACCTCACCCGTATTGTTTACATTTCTGTTTGTTTATATGTTTGTTTTATATTTTTTCTTTTTAATAGAGATGGGACTACAGGCATGCTAATTTTTTGATTTACTGTAGAGATGAGGTCTTGCTATGTCTTACTACGTTGCCCAGGCTAGTCTCAACCTCCTGGGCTCAAGTAGTTCTCCCACTTCAGCCTCTCAAAGTGCTGGGATTGCAGGCGTGAACCACCATGCCCAGCCTTGTTTGTTTGAACCAAGGGAATGGATTACTTGTATAAAACAAGCTCGGCTGGGTGTGGTGGCATGTGCCTATAGTCACAGCACATCGGGAGCCCGAGGCAGGAGGATCGCTTGAGCCCAGGAGTTCGAGATCATCCTAGACAACATAGCAAGACCTCATCTCTACAACAAATCAAAAGATTAACTGGATGTGGTCAGAAGGGTCACCTGAGCCTAGGTAGGAGTTCATGACACTGCACTCCACCCTGGGTGACAGAGTAAGATCCTGACTCAAAACAACACGAGACAAAACAAAACCCACTAAAAAATCTGACTTGGAGTCAGGTCCTGGCTCCTTTGCTCACTAAAACTGTGACCTTGGCTCGGATGGCCTCTCCAAGCCTCAGTTTCCTCATCTGCAGAATAGACTTAGTAAAATCTGTTGCCTGGCATTGTTGGGAGGATCTGATGGGCTGGTCCCTGGACTTGGTAGCTAGTGGACTGGGTGTCCTCTCCTGGACCGGGGTTCAGAACCTGTCGCACACCCTCCTTCTCCACCCACCCTCTCCCTCCCTGCTAAGGGCACAGAGACAGGGAGACGGTCAGTTCTGTTACTGCTCTCAGTGAAAATTATGTCACAATTTTGAGTCCTCAGTGGGCCCTGAGTCAGGGAACCTAATGAAATAGGTCAGTTGTATTTGTTATTAATTCTCTCTCACTTATAAAAATAATTCATCTGGGTCAGGTGCAATGGCTCTCGCCTGTAATCCCAACACTTTGGGAGGCCAAGGCAGGAGGACTGTTTGCACCCAGGAGTTGGAGACCAGCCTGTGCAATATAGTGAGACCTCATCTCTACAAAAAAAATTAAAAGTTAAAAAATTAGCAGGACATGGTGGCAAACGCCTGTAGTCCCAGCTACTTGGGAGGCTGAGGCAGGAGGATCGCTTGAGCTCAGGAGCTGTGGTGATCTGTGATCCTGCCACTGCACACCAGCCTGGGTGACAGAGTGAGACCCTGACTAAAAAAAAAGGCAAAAGAAAAACAACTGATCTGGCAGCTTCTCAGTCAGGAGTTGATTGTGTATTTGGAGCAAGGACATTCTTAGGCCAGAGGACTGGGATCAGTGAGGCAGGGAAGGGAAAGGACCTGCTTCCAGGAGGCACCAGATGACCTCAGGCTGGGTGATATCAGCCCTCCCCCATGTCCCACCAGGCCTGCTGAACCTGAAACCCCTACCAGAGCCCAGCATCCTGGCTTTTCTTTAAAATAACTTTACATTTTTGTTATTAGAGAAAGTGCATGCTCATCATTGTACTGCTGGAAAATCCAGAGAAGCAGAAGAAATTGCCAGCAGTGTGGGTGACATTTTGACATCATTTGACATCATTCTCTCCAGTCAGCCTTCCTTTTCTGTGTGTTTCTGAACATAGCTGAGATCATGCTGTGTGTGCAATCTCATATCCTGCTATTAAAAATAATATTCTTTATTACACAACTAATACAGGAATACCTTTTCATTATTTTTACAAAAGATACCCATTTAAAAATACAAAAATAGGCTGGGTGTGGTGGCTCACGCCTATAATTCCAGCACTTTGGGAGGGCAAGTGAGGTGAGAGAATTGCCTGAGCCTAGGAGTTTGAGACCAGCCTAAGCAACATAGTGAGACCCCATCTCCACCAAAAAAAAAAAAAACCTTAACCAGGCATGGTGGCATGCACCTGTAGTCCTGGCTACTCAGGAGACTGAGACAGGAGGACTACTTGAGTCCAAGAGTTCAAGGTTTCAGTAAGCTATGTTTGCATCACTGCACACTAGCCTGGGTGACACAGGGAGAGAAGGACCCTGTCTCCAAATGAACAAATGTGATATGATAACATCGCCATTTCCCATGAGCCTCGCCTTTAATGGCAGCCTCCAGTCCCGTCCACGGATGGACCCTCACTTTCCTCCCTTCCCATTTCTCCCTTTCAAGGTGGGCTGTCTGTGAAATCTCTTTGCTGCCCTTTCCTTGTGTGGCAGCCTCCTCCTCAGGGCTACTGCCTGGGAGATTCCATGCTCCATAGTGTGCAGGGAGCCTCCCCCGTTGTCCCCTGGAACCATCCCTGGAAATGCCTGGACATCCCTTGTCATAGGCCTGCCCACTTTACAGACGGGAATGTCATCTGAGTCACTGTGAGATACAAGGCAGGACCAGGGTTCCCATCTGGTGCCCTGAGGAACCTAGGAAAATACCCAAGCTCCTGCAGGGCAGGGCCTCATAGGAACCAGCACTGGGTAAAGGAGGGTATGGATGAATGAATGATTAATGAATGAATGAATGCTCACTCAAGCCCGTTTACCCCATAAACCTAGAGACCGTGTGGGATGCAATAAGTACTAACGTTATCAAGTACACGCCCTCACTGAGCATCAGACCCTGTTCTGAGCATTTTTCACACCTACTAGCTATTAGGGCCTCATAATCCTCCAGGGAGATTCAAATTCTATCACCCTCATTTTGCAAAGAAAGAAACTGAGGCATCAGAGGATAAGGGCCTGAGCTAAGGTTGCATGCCCAGTACAAGGCAGAACCAGGATTCAGGCGAGCAGCGTGGTAGGCCCCAGGGTGCTCCCCTCTGGCCTCTTACCCTCCACTGCCTCGCCTCAGCCTCGAGCCTAGCAGAGTCGTGACCCTGCTGCTGTAGTCTCTGGGCCCAGACCATGAGCTCTGGGAAAGCCCAGCCCAGCCTGTCCAGGATGGGTGAACGAGGCTCCCGTGGGAGAGGCTGGTCCTGCCCTCCTGTGTCCCACGTCCGTGACCTCATCTCCCTTGGCTCTCACAGTGGTCGGGCTGGACATTCAGGATGAGATGGGCAGGCACGAGGTGGGCCACATCGACAACTCCATGAAGATCCCTCTCCACGACGGGGCCGGCTGCCGCTTCGAGGGGCAGTTCAGCATCAACAAGGTATGGAGGCCCGCCCATGCCATGCTTACCCGCCCCATGCCCTCTATCCCCCCCACCCCAGAAATGAACTGGGTGAGCCTGACCCCAACAGAGATCCCGGCACGGAGGACTGGTGTCCAGCCGCCTGGCAGTCCAGGTGGCAGTTCCTAGCTCCTGGAGTAAAGGGTAGGAGCTAGTCTTCTCCCCAGCCTGGAAGAGTGAGTGGTGAGAAGACCTTAGGATTTGCAGCCCTGGGTTTAAGTCCCAGCTCTCCCCCTTCTTAGTCAAGAAACTATAAAAATAACAAAATTTAGCGTGGCTTGATGGCACATGCCTGTCCTTCCAGCTACTGGGGATGCTGAGGCAGGAGGACTGCTTGAGCCCAAGTGTTAGAGGCTGCAGTGAGTTATGATATCACCACTGCACTCCAGCCTGGGCAGCAGAGTCTCTTAAAAAAACCTGTCTCTTAAAAAAAATTGTCTGGGTGCAGTCGCTCAGTCTATAATCTATAATCCCAGCACTGTGGGAGGCTGAGGCGAGAGGGTTGCCTGAGCCCAGGGGTTTGAGACCAGCCTGGGCAACTTGGTGAGACCTCGTCTCTACAATAAATCACAAAACTAGCCAGGTGTAGTAGTGTGCGTCTGTAGTTCCAGCAACTTGGAAGGCTGAAGCAGAAGGATCACCTGAGCCCAGCAGGTCAAGGCTGAGGTAGCCGTGAACGTGCCACTGCACCCCAGCCTAGGCGACAAGTGTGAGACACCAACTCAAAAAAAAAAACTTAGCTGAGCACTGTCCCAGCACTTTGGGAGGCTGAGACAACAGGATTGTCTGACCCCACGGGTTCAAGACCAGCCTGGGAAACATGGCGAGGCCTCATCTCTATAATAAATCAAAAAAATTTGTCAGGTGTAGTGGCACATGCCTATAGTCCCAACTACTTGGAAGGCTGAAGCGGAAGGATCACCTGAGCCCAGCAGGTCAAGGCTGTGATGACCATGAGCACGCCACTGTACTCCAGCCTGGGTGACAGAGTGAGACTCTGACTCAAAAATAAACAAATTAATTAAATAAAACTTATAATTCAGTTGCTTGTTCTCATTAGTCACATTTCCAGAGCTCAAAGTCACACTGGCTGGAGGCCACTGCCTTAGACAGGGCAGGTCATTTCCATCACTGTGGAAGGTTCTGCTGGACAGCACAGCTTTGGGAAGGTCACTTCGACAGCCGCATGGGAGTGGGCAGGAGGGGCTAAGAGTGGAGATCACAGTAATGAGGTTGGGGAGATGTAATCAGATTGGGGGTACAGGGCTAGTAAGACTGAATGAGGAATTGGATATTGGGTGAGGGTACGCGCAGAATAATTTTTTAAAAAACTTCTTAGGACTTTGTCTTGACAATCAGGCAGTTTGTTTTCTAACTGTGGGGGCTTGGATGCTCATGGATTAGATGGGAGGTGGTAGAGGTGGGTGCCTGTTCCTCTGCTCTGGGGTTATTTAGGGTCCCCAAAAGGTGTCTACAGGGAGATGCTAAGTTGGAAGTGGGAGGGGTGTTCTCAGTGGGCAGCGGAGGGGTCTAGGCTGCAGGTGTCCATGTGGGAGCCACTGGTGCCCAGATGATGCAGGAAGTTACAACAGGTCTAGGTCAGTCTCCTCTGCATGGGGCCACAGGACAGCAGCAGCAGCATAGCTGGAGAGTTTGGGAATGCAGGTTCTCAGGCCCCACCTCGACCTGCTGACTCTGTGTTATAAACAAGCACTCCCAGGGAGTCTGCTGCCACTGAAGTTTGAGGATTGTTGGTTTAAACAACATAACTAGGGAGAGGGTGTGGAGCTTTTCAAATAGAGGTGAGCTCTTGAGCCCATGCTGGTCTCCAACTTCTGGGCTTAAGCAATCCGTCTGCCTCGGCCTCCCAAAGTGCTGAGATTACAGGTATGAGCCACCACTCCTGGCTATAGAACCTTGTTATAAACCCGGGGTTTGCAACTACCCCAAGGAGAGCAGATTGAATTCAAGGGGTCTGTGAACTTAGATGGGGGAAAATTTTTTTTTTTTAGTTGAAGTCTCACTCTGTTGCCCAGGAAGGAGTCCAGTGGCATGCTCATGGCCACTGCAGCCTCTACCTGCTGGGCTCAGGAGATCCTTCCACCTCAACCTTCCAAGTAGCTGGAAATACAGGCATGTGCTACCACGCCCAGCTAATTTTTTTATTTATTGTAGAGGTGATGTCTCACCGTGTTGCCCAGGCTGGTCTTGAACCTGTGGGCTCAGGCAATCCTCTTGTCTCTGCCTCCCAAAGTGCTGGGATTATAGGCATGAGTCACCACGCCTAGCCTGCTGGATGGGGAAAAATTGTATGCTTTTATTTTTACTAAGCTCTGACCCAAAGTTTGCATTTTCTTCTCTGGTGAATGTAAGCAACTAACTATAGTACTATTGGCAGTGCCAGTGACTTTGTCACCGATAGAAATTGCTGATACTTATATCACATGATAATCGTTGCTACAAATTTCCAGATACTGTTTACTGCCATCACTGCTTTGAAATTGTAGTCGTTATTTGACCTATCACTAGGTCTTGTTATTTGATGCATCAATAAAGCAGTGTATTCAACTGTGGTTTTCTAATATTTTAATTACTATTTAATTATAACCTTTTCTTTGTAATCTTATGTATTTAATGCATTAACAACATCTTAAGCATTTAAAACATAGGTGTCATCAGACTGGCAAAGGGTTATCCATGGCACCAAAAACATCACTCCCATAATCCCAGCACTTTGGGAGGCTAAGGTGGGAGGATTACTGAAGGCCAGAAGTTTAAGACCAGCCTGGGCAACATAGCAAGACCCATCTCTACCAAAAAAAAAATTGAAAATATAAGAACATTTTTTTCAAAAGAAGGAATCACATTTCTTCGTGTTGTCCTAGCACCTAGGCTGACAACCCAGCAGACAGCCCAGCCACCACTCCCTCCCCACCTCTTGACAAACATGTCCAGGGCTATGGTTTGCTCCCTTTAGAAGGGACTGTGTCAGAGTCCCCACTGGCTCTGGGTGAACTGGAACTTGCCTTTTGGGTTCAGACAGACTGTGGTCAAGGATCCTAGCTACGGTGTTCACTGGTTGAATGACCCTGGGCAATTTAACTTCTTAGAGCCTTGGTTTCCTCATCTGTAAAATGGGAATAATAATACTGATTTCACAGATTGTGAGACATGATCAAATCAGAGTATTAAAACACTTCATGCAGTAGGAACTAGACAAGCATAGGCCCTTTCCTGGCCTTATCACACATCAGTGGATGCTTCCATGACCTCAGCCGCTGGCAGCCATGGTCATCTAGGCACAAGTGACATCCAAGAAACAGGCCTTCTCTGTCACGCCATTTCATAGACCAGCCCTCGTGTTACAGCTGCCACTTATTGACCCTTTCCACATATAAACTCATTTAGTTCTTGCTGTAGTCCTGGGGAAACTGAGGCACAGGAAATTAAGTGCCTGTTTGAGGTCACACAGCTGGGATTTGAGCCTAGGTGACTTGCCCCAGGGCCCTGGCTGTTAGCCCTGAGCCCATGGCCTGTGGCTGCTGCTCCCAGCATCCTGGCTATAGGTGCCTGGAGCCTGGCTCACAGCCCAGGCCACCCACCTCCTTTGCCAAGGCCCGTGCTTTGAGAGGTGCTCAGATAAGGAAGCCACCAGTATCCATGCACCACGATGAAGGATCAGCAGCGGCCCCCACTCTCTCCCCATTCAGCCAGGCTCAACCCTGCGGCCGGCTGCCTCCTGATCCCTCCATCAGGAAGTCGGCCAGCCCTAGATGTCAGAGTTTGCATGGCTCGAGCTGCTGCAGCGGCGCCCCCCAAAGACCACACGGTGACCTTGCTTAATCACCCAGCCCCCCAGGAGCAGGGCAGGATGGAGCGTGGGGCACCGGCCTGGCTTCAGCTATATGTTTTTAAAATCCATCTGAGACGCTGACGCAGGTTCCTCAGTCACAGGCTCCAAAAGCATCGTCTTCCCTTTCTTCAGCCCAGCATGTGCTGGCATGAGTCAGCCACCCGTGATGGATTCGGTGTGGAACCAGAGTGGGCTACTGAGTCACCGCCTTGCGGGGCCTGGCGGCGGGTGGCAGATGCTGGGGCCAGCCTCCTTGACTCACTCCACTCAGGGCACGTGACTCTGAACTCTGCTGTGGCCCCATCTGCAGGGGGTCCTGTGTCCCCGCAGAGAGAACTCTGGTGGGGACACACATCTCATGGCTGTCGGTTTCTTCCCTCCAGGGGTGGTGGGCAACAGGGACCTTAGTTCTGACTGTGTCTTGTGGATATTTTGTAATGAAAGTGTATCCAGGTGTTATTTATATCAGTGAAAATGAAGTTTGAAATGGTGGTGTGCACCTGTAGTCGCAGGTATGTGGGAGGCTGAAGTGGGAGATTGCTTCAGCCCAGAAGGTAGGGTCTGTGGTAAACTGTGATCTTGCCACTGCACTCCAGTCTGGGGAACAGAGTGAAACTCTGGCTTGAAAAACAAAACAAACAAAAAATACAGTGGGCCAGCTGGGCATAGTGGCTCATGCCTGAAATCCCAGCACTTTGGGATTCTGAGGATTGCTTGAGGTCAGGTGTTCAAGACCAACCTTGGCAATATAGTAAGACCTCATCCCTATTTAAAATTAAAAAAAAAAATTTTAAATACAGCAGGATAGGCCGGGCTCAGTGACTCAGCCTATAATCCCAGTACTTTGGGAGGCTTAGGTGAGAGGATTGCCTGAACCGACAGGCTTGAGACCAGCCTGGGCAACTTGGTGAGACCTTGTCTCTACAATAAATCAAAAAAAGTTAGCTGGGCATGGTAGCATGTGCCCGTAGTTCTAGCTACTTGGAAGGTTGAGGCTGGAGGATCACCGGAGCCCAGCAGGTCGAGGCTAGGATGGCTGTGAGTGTGCCACTGCACTCCAACCTGGGTGACAGAGTGAGAATCCAACTCAAAAAAATATATACATACAGCAGGCTTTTCCTCATGCCCTGCCTGTGCATGTGCTGGTCCCTCTTCTGGAAAGGCCCTCTCTGCCAGCTCTGAGGACAAGCGTGCTCATCCTACAAACCTGACCCTGTAGCAGCTTCAACTGCCTTGCATGGATCACCTCATCACACTTTCCCAATAACTTTCTGGCTTTATCCCCATTTTGCTGATGTGGAAACTGAGGCACAGAATGGTTGCTGATCTCGCCTGAGAACCCCTGGCTTGGAAATGAGGCTGGACTGGAGGCCACGTGTGGAAGCCTGCTCTGTTGCCGACTACTGAGTGCCTGGAGCGGGCCGCGCAGGCCTTGAGGGCGATCTTGGCAACCCTAGTTCCTGCTCCACTGCAGACCCCAAGGGCGTCCTCCTCTACCCTGGAGCTCACTCCACTGTGAGCTGCGAGGCCTAGTCATGCCCTGTCAGCACGATGCCTCCCATGCAGGTCCAAAGCTCAGGCCCTACTGAAGAGGGAATATTCCTGCAGGCAGCCCACAGCTTTGCACTGGAGAGACATGCTCATGCCATAAGCCAACTTTGGTGGACTGCACCACATCCTGTGGAGGCCATGTTCCTGCCTCTGATGCAGCTCAGTCATCTTCATTGAACTGGAATATGATAACCCCTGAGTTTTCAGTGTGGCATGTGAGGGCCTTGGATCAATGGCCTCCGCCGCCGTGTCTCTTAGTTTTCTGCAGCCACCACCACCTGACCCCTGTCCTACTGGCGGTCAGGAGCACCAAACCCTTCTAGCTCCTCAGACATGCCATGGCCTCTGCACTTGTCCGTGCTGTTCCCTCTGCCCAGATACTGTTCCCTCTCTTCTAGGGAAGGCAGACTCCTCTTCAAGGCCTTAGCACAAGGGTGTCCTTTCCCCTAGGAAGCACTCCCTGGGCCCACCCCACACCCTCAACTGAACCAAGACCCTCTCCATAACCCCACCCTGAGACTCCCTTGGCCTACAGAACCTCATTATCCATGTCAGGGCAGGCCAGGGGCTCAGCCAGGGCCGGGCTACTCTCTGGTCCCCTCCCCAGCCCCAGCGCCTCCTGAAAGATGGGCCTCACATGGCCGTCAGCCCAGGGCCACTGAGGTAAACAGCATCCTGGCAGTACGCCCCAAAACAGGATCCCAAACCGCAGCTCTCAACACGTGACCTTCCTTAGCAGGTTTCTCCACTGCTCTGAGCCTCAGTTTCCTTTTCTGTAAAATGAGAACTTTCAGGTGCCAGAGTCAAAGGACTAAGTGCCATTTGTTCATTCATTCATTCATTCAATAAACATCTGTTGGCCACCTGCTCTACATCAGAGTTTGGGGGGAACAGCAGGAAGCAAAACACACAAAGCCCCTGCTGGTGCAGGATGGACCTTCTAGCAGAAGGACGCAGTCGAGGCCAGGATTGGTGGCAGGTGGCAAGTGAAGCCAGTACTGAGGCAGCCAAGGGGCTGGGATGCGTGGTCGGGGGTTCCTTGTGTAGGTGGACAGGGAGGGCCTCTCTGGTGAGGTGACCCCTGAGCACACCTGACGGATGAAAGGACCATGTGGAAGAGGGTTCTGGAAAGGGGTGGCAGGCATAAGGGCCCCAAGGTGGAACCATGCCAAGCACCATTCTCAATGCGGCAGGGAGGTTGAGGTGAGATGCTTGGCTGATGGCCAGGGCATGCCATGGCCTGCAGCCACCATGAGGATGCTAGAGGACAGAAGCCTTGGAGGGTTCCAGGCAGAGGAGTGACAAGATCAGACATAGGGTTTAAAGATCTCCCCTGGCTGAGTGCAGTGGCTCACACCTGTAATCCCAGCCCTTTGGGAGGCCAAGGAAGGAGAATCACTTGAGCCCAGGAGTTTGAGACCAGCCTGGGCAACAAAGTGAGACCTTAGATCTATAAAAAATGAAAGAATTAGCCAGGTGTGGTGGCACACGCCTGTAGCTCCAGCTACTCAGAAGACTGAAGTGAAGGGATAACCTGAGCCCAGGAGGCAGACTGCAGTAAGTCTTGATGGTGCCATTACACTCCAGCCTGGATGACAGAGTGAGACCCTGACCCAAAAATAAGTAAATAGACGACAAATGGATAGATGGGTGGATGATAGATATATCTCTCCCATCCCTACTGGGCGACAGTGAAAGTTAGGAGCCCAGGGAGGAGGGTGTTCTCTTTTATCCAGAGAGGACCTGAACCAGGGAGCAGAGTAGGGGCCAGATGCCAGGTTTGTCTTCAGGTAAAGCTGATAGGGTTTCCTGATGGGCGGGATGTCAGGTGTGTGAAGAGGGGTTCCAGGTGACACTGATGGTTTTGGGCTGAACATCTGAGGAGGAGGAAGGGGATTTTTTGCTGAAACTGGGGGCCCCAGGAGAATCCGTGAGGCTCCTGGCCCCAGGCCTCATCAGCTCTTCCTTCCGTAGACATTCGTCCCTGGGACCTCTCACGAGCTGGACTCTGAGGGGGCCTCCAAGCCCAAGGAGAATCGAGGCCACTGCAGTCTGGCCTCCACCAACCCCCTATCTGGGGTGACGGGTCAGAGTGGGTAGGTGGTGACCTGGATTTGGAGTTGGAGGAAGCTCTGTTCTGCAGGTGCCAAGGCCACTCCCAGCGCACACGGGGCCGACATTCCTGAGTCCATGGAGCGGGCTGGGAACAGCTGTTCTGAGTCCTGGCTGTGTTCTGGTCACCCAGAAGACACGTCTCGTGCATTATCTCATGGAGTCCCCACTCAAGGGACAATGGTGTGTGCCCCATTCTACAGATGAGGAGCCTGAGGCTCAGAGAAGTGGACTTCTCAGCACGGCTGGAAAGGATGCATGCTGGGATCCAAACCCAGGACTCTGATTCCAGCACTCCCTGTGTGCCTGGGTCACATGGGGTGAAGCCCCTGCACCCCACCCCTGAGAGAGTCAACCAAGCTCCTGAAACTTGTGTTTCTGCCCCCAGGTCCCTGGCAACTTCCACGTGTCCACACACAGCGCCACAGCCCAGCCACAGAACCCAGACATGACGCACATTATCCATAAGCTCTCCTTTGGGGACACGCTTCAGGTGAGCGGGGTACACTCGGGATGCAACCAGGGTTGGCATCCAGGGACTGCATCACCTGGTGCCCTCTGTCCTCCCTGAGCATGGGGGAAGGTGGCCCTTAAGGGGACATGTATGCCAGGCTCCAAAGGGTAAGGCGGATTTGGCCAGGTGCAAACAGGAAACTGGGTCTTGGACACTGTCTCAAACATCCCCTCTCTCCCATAGCCCCAACTGGTTGTTTTCATATCAAAGACCCTTAAGGATACTTTCAGGAAAGTAAGTGTCCTGACCCCAGCATGATGTCTTCACACCTGCTATTTATTCTCTGTATATGAGATACTGGGGTAGGAGGACTCCTCGGGTCTCCAGGAGCTGGGGTGTCTGGGGTGAGTCCAGGCTACATGGAGGATGGCCAGGGCTGACGGGTCAGGGTGGTATCTTAGAGCACCCATCTGCCATGAGGAAGACAGACTCAGGCAAGACTGGAAGCATGGAAAGCAGGGAAGGGCCCAGTCCCAGGCAGGCTAGAGGGGAGGGGAGGTGGTCTTGCTTTGCTGTGTTGGCAAAACAGAAGGACACAAGCCACAGTCCTGAACTTGGTTCTCAGTGTGGTAGAAATCTGACTTTGTTTAGGAAATACATAAAGCTCAGCCCACCCATCTCTCCGTCAAACACTCACGAGTACCTACTGCTTGCCAGGCTTTGCACACCTTGGTGAGGACAAGCATGGTCCCAGCCCATGCAGAGCTTCAGATAATCCTACAGATAAACGTGAGATATAACTGTGGACATGACAGTGGAAGGGAACATCCCGGCACCCTTGTCGCTGTAACTGCCATCCTCGGGGGTGGGGAACAAAGTCTCTGAGAGTTGGTCCTGCAACAGCAAATGGACACACCTTCCTTTTCCTTGGCTTGCTGAGAGTGTGTGGTTTTGTTAAGGGCTCCATAAACATCAGCCACCTGAGACCGCATTAGGCCAGGCCACCCACCGGCTGCCGCTGTGCCTGGAGTGGCCCTTTCTGTCCCCACCTACCTCTCGAGTGTTTCTTCCTCCCACCCCTTGGTCCCCTTCCTCCCTGGGCCCATGTGGGCCCTCAGTCTCCAGGCTCAGGCCTTTCCACATGCTGCTTGCCTGCTTAACTATGTGCCGTCCCCCAGATCTTGGTGTCAATGTCACTTCCTCCAGGGTGTCCAGCCCAGTAGCCGTGTTAACCATGCCCATGGTGGTAGGTAGGCTACGTGTCCTGGGCATGTCTTGTCCTGCTTTAGATGCTCCTTGGGGCCAACCTGGTTTACCATCACCCTCAGAGCAGGAGTAGGATGTGGTTTCAGCCCTACCTTACAGCAGCCCCTGCCAGGGGGATGCATGCCGGCCAGCAGCCGTGAGGAGGGCTCTCTCCAAACCTGCCGTGTGTCCTCCAAAGCAGATACAGTGGGGGGCCAGCAGCTCTGGGGCACCCCACCCTGGGCTCCTCTGGAGACTTTGCAGAGGGCCCTGGGGAGCATAGGAGGAGTGTACTAGGGCCCAGGGTCTGCCTTTACTTGAGTTTTCGGCAAGGCTTAGTAGACAGAGTTCAGGCTTGGAGCCAGACAGACCCAGATCAGAGTCTGGCTTAGCCACTCACATGATACTCAAGTCTTGGCATCTTTCCAAGCCTTGATTTGCTCTTCTTTAAAATGGGCCCAGTGACACCCCATTTTGAGCCTGTAATGAGGTGGTGTGAGGTAGCCAGGACAGAGTAGCACACAGTAGGTACTCGTACTGGGAAGCAGGCTTATGCCTACTGTGCATGCGGCCTGCGCTGCCTCCTCTCCCATCCCTCCTCTACAAGGCAAACCCTGCTGGGCCCCCCTTTACACACAGGTAAGGTCCCCAGGCTAGGTGGCACCTGACTGGTCCCCACAACCAGGGCCAGGCCAGGAGGTGGCAGCGTCCTGGGGACCGTCCCTCACTGTACCTCTCCACAGGTACAGAATGTCCACGGAGCTTTCAACGCCCTCGGGGGAGCAGACAGACTCACCTCAAACCGTAGGTATCTGGGAACAGCAGACGGGGTGGGGAGTCTTCAACCCTCGATCCCGGCCAGGGAGGACGCTCACGCTCTTTCCCCACTGCCAGCCTGTGGGGAGATGGAATTATCCCCATCGAGCCTGTCCCTGGGGAAGTAGATGCCACCCTTGGCATGTCATATATGCTTGTGAATACCAGCCGTTGTTGTTACCATCGTGATCAATGCTACAGCCATGGTTCTTCACTGAGTGAATCCCCGAAGACCCCACAGGGTTGATTCCGGCTCCAAGTCTGTGGGAACAGACCTGTAGGGGCCCAGTCAGGTCTGAATCACCCCCCAGCTGCCTCCCCATCCACCCCCGCTCCTGCTCCAATGCCTCCCACCGACGGTGGCTCCTCCTGGATCCTCACTAGAATGGCAGGTGTGAGCCGCCTCGCCCCGCCTTACCTACCTGTTTTTGTCCCTAGCATGGAGTGCTCTCTGAAATCACCTTGTTCTCTCAGTTTTGTGTTGCTCTCAGCTGTGGCTCCAGCTAGAACCTAGCTCTCTGTCTTGCCGGCTGCTCTGTCCCCAGGATCAGCCCCATGCCCAGCGTATGGTAGCCATATAATTGATGGTGCAAGGTGATAAGTGGCCACACTCTGGAGGGCACCAGCCCCTGCCGGGGGGGTGCAGTCTGTCGTGGGGACCTTGGACTCCAGCTCCCACTCTACCATTTCCCAGCCCTGTGGTCTTGAGAAAGTCATGTGATGCCTCCAAGCCTCAGTTTCTGCATATGTAAAGCGGACAGGATCCTCTTCACTCACAGCCTTGCCCCGAAGACCAATGAGATGCATGAAGAGTGTTTGGTGCATGGCCTGGCACATGCCAGTACTCGGTCAGTGTCAGCTTTCTCTCCACTGTCCTCAACCACCAACTTCAGGAACGAGATCCCCAGGGCAAAGACTAAGGGGGCCTTTCCTACGTGGAACTGTGTCCTGTATCATGTGGAACTGGTCCTGAACGGTGTCACTGGGATCAAAACCAGCTTGTCATATATATACATATATATGGGCTACTGGTTTAGAAAATGCAGATCCTGGGCTCCATCTTAATGGCGGGGTAGAGACAAAACAAGATGGACCATGTGTCGATACCTGCTGAAACTGTGAAATGGGGACATGGGAGAGGGTATTATACAATCCCCTATGTTTTGTGTTTACAATTTTCCATAGTAAGATACTTGGAGGGAGGGAGGGAGAAGGAACTGTGGGCAGAAGGAAGTTATCCACATGGGCATCATGAGGTGCTGTGTCTCCAGTGGGCATTTGGCAAATTGTATCAAAGGCCTTCAAAATAGTCATTGCCAGCCAGGCACAGTGGCTCACGCCTGTAATCCCAGCATTTGGGGAGACCAAAGTAGGAGGATCGTTTGAGTTCAGGAGCTTGAGGTCAGCCTGGGCAACATAGCGAGACTTCGTCTCTACAGAAACAAAAAACAAAAAATTAGCCAAGCATAGTGGCACGCCTGTAGTCCTGGCTACTTCGAAGACTGAGGCAGGAGGATCACCTGAGCCCAGGAGGTCAAGACTGTGGTGAGTTGTGATCATGCTACCACACTGCAGTCTGGGCAACAGAGTGAGACTCCAACTCAAAAAAACCCCAAATGATTGCCTTTGAGTCATCAATTCTACGCATAGGAGTACGATAAGGAAATAATTAGGAGAGAGTTCAAAATCCAGGAAAATAATATTCATTGGGTCATTTTTTTTTTTAATTTTTAATTTTAAAGATGTTGGGTATAAGCCAGGCTCGGTGGCTCAGCCTGTAATCCCGCGCCTTTGGGAGGCTGAGGTGAGTGGATTGTCTGAGCCCGCAGGTTCGAGACCCGCCTGGGCAGGCGAGACCTCATCTCTACAATAAATCAAAAAATTAGCTGGGTGTGGTAGCGTGCGCCTGTAATTCCGGCTACTCGGAAGGCTGAGGCGGAAGGATCGCCGGAGCCCAGTAGGTCGAGGCTGCGGTGGCCGGGAGCGAACACTGCACTCCAGTCTGGGCCACAGAGTGAGACTCCAACTCAAAAACGAAGCAAAAAAAATAAAAATAAAAATAAAAATAAAAAAAGATGTGAGGTACAATTCAGAGTTAAGTACACAAGTGTTCATTATGCAAGTACCCTTGTTGATGAGCTGTGCCCCCTCTCCCGTGGCAGAATCCCACTACTACCAATCCCCCCTCCCTCAGCAATTTCCCAATACTGATAATCCTTTTCTTACAGTATTACAATAATTGTTCAAGGTCCGCTTATGAGTGAGAACACGTGATACTCAGTTCTTTGTTTCTGTGATAGATCACTCAGCATGGATCATTGTTTACAAGAGTAAAAATGAAGAACCACATCAGTGTCCAGCCCTAGAAGGGTTGAGAACATGGTAACTATTCACATCACGGAATTCCTGCAACTGCTAACTGTGATGTGGCAGGACCTCACCAGCAGTCAGGCAGCAAACATTGTGCACCTCCTGTATACCAGGCATTGGTTAGGTTCTGGGTACATGGAAGGGAATAGGACAAACAAACTCTGGAGCTCACATTCAGAGCCTTGGTCCTAAAAAATGTTTATGATGTTCAGGTCTTAGAAAAAGGCACGGTATGATCTTGTTTGAGGAAAACATAAATATATGTATTAATATCAGTCTGGCAGTTTATACATGAGAATGGGAACCACAGCTTTCTGCAGATGGTAGATATAGGGGAGACTTACCTCTTTTCCTTGGTGATCACCTGTGTTTTGTACAAATTTTAACAAAAAATGGCTATGTACGATGCCTCATGCCTATAATCCCGGCACTTTAGGAGGCAGAAGCAGGAGAATTGCTTCAGCCCAGGAGTTCAAGACCAGACTGGCCAATATAACGAGACCTGTCTCTATTAAAAAAAAAAAATCAAAAAATATAGCCTAGCTTGATGACACATGCCTGTAGCCCCAGCTAACTGGGAGGCTGAGGTGGGAGGATTACCTGAGCCCTGGAGGTTGAGGCTGTAGCGAGCTGCGGTTGTGCCACTGCACTCCAGCCTGCATGACAGAGATCTCGACTCAAAAACAAAGACAAATACAAATTTTTTTTTTTTGAGTCAGGGTCTCACTCTGTCGCCCAGGCTAGAGGGCAGTGGCACACTCAGCCACTGCAGCCACAACCTGTTGGGCTCAGGCGGTCCTTCCATTTCAGCCTTCCAAGTTTAGCTGGAACTCCAGGCACATGCCACCATGCCCAGCTAATTTTTTGATTTATTGTAGAGATGAGGCCTTGCCATGTTGCTCAGGCTGGTCTTGGACCTGTGGGCTTAGGCAATCCTCTTGCTTCCACTTTCCAAAGTGCTGAGATTATAGGCAACTATGCCTAGCAACAAAAACAAATTTTTAACAAAAAAAAGTCACAGGTGTGATTTTGGCCTTTGAGCCTTCAAGTTGGGACGTCATATTTCAGGTGTGGTCTTTGGCTCCTGGTTTACATTGCAGGCCTGAGCCCCGCCATGGGCCCACTTAGTGGACTAGCTTAGTGAACTCTCTGGGAATGCGACTCAGATGTCTGCCTTTTACTTCTGGGTGATTCTAATGCTTCTGATATCTGAGAACCATTACGGGCTTGAGCAGAGGGCTGTTGGGGTCTTCATGGCCTTGCCCTGAGGCTACAGAGCTTTCTGCAGGTTTCCAGAGGAATCTACTCAAGACAGTCCAGGAAAAAATTAGCCGGCACACACTTGTAATCCCAGCTACTCAGGAGGCTGAGGCAGGAGGATTGCCTGAGCCCAGGAGGTTGAGGCTGCGGTGAGCTGTGATGGTGCCACTGTGCTCCAGCCTGGGCGATATCCTCCTTTCCGTGCTGTGGCAGTTGCAGGAAGAGGCAGGCGGGGGGGTCAGGGCCATGGATGCCGTCTGCGTACCACATACCAGCCTTCTAACAGAGGAGGCTGACTGGACTATGGGACCAGGAGTAGACCCTATAGGCTTGACTCTGCATTGTTTTAGCTCCATGGTTCCTAACTGGAGATGCTAGAAGGTCCGTGCGTTCCTCTTAGCATCCTAGAAGGCCCAGGAGAATTCGTGCCTTCCTGGGTGGTGTTTGGCAGCGTGGAGCGAGCACCCCATCAGCCCAGCATTGGTTGCTGGTTACCTCATGCTAGTCAGGAGGTGATTCATGGGTCCCTCCATTCATGCTTTGTCCGGTCACCCTTCCATCCATTCACTCATTCAACAAGCATTTGCCACGGTCTGCTCCGTGCCAGTCTCTGCACAGGCTCTGGGGACACAGAGATGAGTAAGCCTCCGTCCCTGTCCTCAGCATCCTCCCCCACCCAGGAAGAACGGGCCTGCCATTAATTGAAAACAGAGAAAGAGATCAGTCAGCTCTTCATAGATGCGGTTCTTTGGGGTGGTGGGCTCTTCTGTAAACTGAAACTCTGCTTGTTTTAAAAGTACAAATATTCAAACAGTACTGGGGGATGCACAGTGAAGTGGGCTCTTTCTCCAGGCCTGTCTCCCTCCCCAGAGGCTAAAGCTGCTCATGGTTTCTTGGGTGTCTTTCCAGAGCATTCTACACATTCACAGGCATGGTCTCTCCTGCCCCTAATCCACAGAAACATGTTGTGTGCCCTATTCTGTGACTTGGTTCTCTCCCCTCAGCCATACCTCTCCGAGAATAGTCATTCCCAGCTCTCATTCTTTAGTGGCTGCCATATTGATGGACATTTGGGTTGTTTCACGGCCACCACAGCTCAACCTGCTGGGTTCCGGTGCTCCTTCCGCCTCAGCCTTGGGACTACAGTTGCATGCCACCACACCAATAGTTTTTGTGATTTATTGTAGAGACAAGGTCTCACCAAGTTGCCCATGCAGAATTTTAACATAAATTCAGGAGTAAAGATCCTGATGGGTGGAGTCTCCTAATTCTTGGGGTCCAAGAGAAGAGATGACGAGGGGACAGGCTGGGCACCGTGGCTCATATCTGCAATCCTAACACTTTGGGAGGCCGAGGAGGGAGGATTGGTTGAACCCAGGAGTCTGAGACCAGCCTGCGCAACACAGTGAGACCTCATCTCTACAAAAAATAGCCAGGCATGGTGGCACGTGCCTGTAGTCCCAGCTACTTGGGAGGCTGAAGTGAGAGGATCTAGGCTGCAGTGAGCCGTTATCATGCCAAACTCCAGCCTGGGCGACAGAGTAAAACCTTGTCTCAAAAAAAGAAGAAGAAAATGAAGAAGAGGTCATTTTCTGGTGAAAATTTTGTGGGGATTGAGCCCCCCGCAATGCCAAGGGCATTTAAGATTAGGCTGAAATGACATAGAGCTGTCAGCGGGCAGTGCCTGTCCCCTGCTTCACCTTGCTGTGTCCTTCCCGCAGCCCTGGCCTCCCACGACTACATCCTGAAGATCGTGCCCACGGTGTATGAGGACAAGAGTGGCAAGCAGCGGTACTCCTACCAGTACACGGTGGCCAACAAGGTGCGCTGGCGGCGGGGCCGAGCCGTGTGCGGCGCGCCCTCTGCTGGCGAAGAGCAGAGGCTCCAGGCAGCTGCGCCCACACCACTTCTGCGGGTTCCTTCCGGGAGGCCTTCCCTGGGGGTCTGCCTGGGCCAGGCTCCGTCTCTGGGTAAAGCCGGAAGACCCAGTCCCTGCCATTGTGGCAGTCTCAGAGTCAAGAGGAGGAAATCTGCCAGTAGATAGGATGTGATCTGTTTGGGAAAGAGCCGGCAGGCAACACCCCTGCCCCCGCCCCAACCTCCGGGTTGCGGTTGTCTCAAGACCCTGCGTCTGGTCCTAGGGATGGCTGTTGATTGACTTGCTGTTGATTAACAGGGTGTTCCAGGACCCCAACACTCTAAGTCACAGAGAAGGAGGCATGCCTTGGTGGGCAGCAGAGCATGGTCAGAATCGGTGGAGTGGGATGACTCCACAGTTAGCAGTTTCAAACTGAGGCAGCCTCGGGCTTCTCCAGAGATGAGCCTGCTGGGGGGTGTGACTGCTTGAAGCCTCCTGGTTGAGATGTCCCTACTAGACCCTGATGGATGGGCTTCTTCTCATTTACTACCAGGATTCTCGTTTTCCTTCTGTTCCAGAGCTGCCTGAACCTCTTATCAGTGATATATTGTTTCACTCAATTAATTCTAATAATAGGAAGAGTCGTAGCTGTCATTTCTTGAGTCCGTCTTAGGGCCAGGCACGCTAAGCTCTCTACCTCCGTCATCTTTTTCAGTCATCATGGCAGTTCTGACATGGGGACAGGTGTTTTCCCCATTTTACAGATGTGGCCATCGAGGCGCTGAGAGGTGTTTGTAGAGCTGTAAGGTGGCCGAGTAGGGATGAGAACCAGGTTCTCCCTGGGCTCCAGGGCCTGCCCTCTTGGTTGCCTCTCCCACTCAGTCTGAGTGAAGGGGTGTGAGTGCCCACTGGAAGCTGCTCTCTGTCAGGTTGCAGAGGGAGCCTCTGCTCTGAGCCACCCTGGATTGCTAGCTCTCTGAGGGAAGTCCTGTTTCTTTATTCATTGTTTTGCGGAGGACATCTCACTGTAACCCTCAAGTGTTCATAGCAGCTAACAGACGGGAAAACACAGAGGTCATCTGAGCAGGTGGAGTGTAGGCCTCGGATCATACTACCAGTTCAAATCCTGGCTCCTGGGTCATGTCACATAACCACTCTGTGCCTAGTTTACTCATTTGTAAAATGGGGGTTACTCACTTTATAAGATTGCTATCTAATAAATGAGGTGATGTTCTTTTTAAAAATGCTCAGCCAGGCCAGGCTCAGTGGCTCAGCCTATAATCTCAGCACTTTGGGAGACCGAGATGAGTGGATTGCCTGAGCCCACGGGTTCGAGACCCGCCCTAGCAACTTGGCAAGATCTCATCTCTACAATAATCAAAAATTAGCTGGGTGTGGTAGTGTACGCCTGTAGTTCCAACTGCTTGGAAGGCTGAGGCAGAAGGATTGCTGGAGCCTAGCAGGTCAACACTGGTGTGGCCGTGAGTGTGCCACTGCACTCCGGCCTGGGTGACAAAGTGAGACTCCAACTCAAAAATTAAAAAAAATAAAAATAAAAAAATAAATAGAAATGCTCAACCCACAAAGGCAGCCTTGGGTAAATGATACTGACCGCAGCTGATTTTCACTTTTTCTCTGTCCCTCAGCTCTGGGCTGTGACTTAGACAGTCACCTGCCCCATCAACCCTCCCTAGAGAAAGCTGGTCTTCCTTAAGACTCCTTCTCCCAAGGCTTTGGCAAGTGCTCAGCAGCCGGGCGGCCTGCTTGGTGTTGCTATGATTGTAGCCCAACCTTCCTAGAAGGGTGCTGGTCAGGGCTCAGTTAACCCTGGGAGCAGCCTGAGCTGCCCAGCATTTTGGGTGGGGGGGCAGAGGGGATAGAGGTACAGTTTGTCTCTAGTTGTAGATGGGAGAGAAAAGTCCAGAGGTTTTCAGCACCCTGGAATGCCCAAGCTGGAAAGATTCCCTGGGTCACCCTCCCAGAACCCTCAGTGTTCAGACAGGGAAACCAAGGCCCTGAGGGAGGGAAGGGCTGGCACAAAGACACGCTGAAGCCCCTCCGCAGCCTTCATTCCCTACCTGTGCACTCCCAGGAAGGTCCATGCAGGGCTGGGCTTTGTGGTTCTGTTTGTTCCTTCCTTTAAAAATTTTATTATTTTATTTTGTTTTATTTTATTTAAGTATAGATGAGATCTTGCTATGTTGCCCAGGCTGGTCTTGAACTCCTGGGCTCAAGGGATCCTCCCACCTTGGCCTCCCACAGTGCTGGGAAGTCAGGCGTGAGCCATGGTGCCCGGCCTGCTCTCTTCATATTTTTTATCCTATTGCTGCTTCCAGGGGTCAAAAGTACGTGGATGCTGACGGCAGAGCTTCAGGCCTCCGGGGGAGGTGTGGGAGGAAGCCTGGGTGAGGGATGGGAAAGCCCTTTCTTGAGAGTCGCCAGGGGACCCTCTGCCTCTGCCTCTCCCCCCACCCCTCGGGACACTGTTCTGACTCTCACATCCTCTACCCAGGAGTACGTCGCCTACAGCCACACAGGCCGCATCATCCCTGCCATCTGGTTCCGCTATGACCTCAGCCCCATCACGGTCAAGTACACAGAGAGACGGCAGCCGCTGTACAGGTTCATCACCACGGTGAGTGGCCTGGGCAGACAGCAGACCAGCCTCCACGCACCTGCTGCAGGCTTCCTCCCCTCCCCTGGGCTACGGGTCCGGGACAGAGCCTGGGGGGCTTTGATCACAAGAAGGTGGATAAACATTATCAGAAACACACCTGTCTCCATGACGTTTCCTCTAGACAGTATTTTCCAGGGGGAGATGCTTCTAAATCCATTTAATTCCTGAAGCATGTTTCCATATGGCTCTACTAGATGCTCTTGATTTTCTCCAGGTTTTCATGTTCGTGGAAATTATTCTTAGCAGGGCTTAACTTTTTTGTATGTAAATTTTACAATGAAGACTTAACTCATTTTTGTCCCCACTGTCTAATTTCCATTTATAGCTGCTGACACGGTCAGGGTTTTTCCTTCCTGCCTGGTCTCTGTCTTGTCATTGACTCTACATGGCCCATTTTCTTTGGGGCAGCTTCAAGCTGACGTCAGTTTTCTTTTATGCTGACTATTTCTACCAAGTTCTCTGTTTCCTGGCCTCCTACTCAGGATGTTCTTGAGGTCAGAATGGGAGAGTCAGAGAGCCCTGCTCCAGCCAAGGGGCCCAGGAGATGTTGGGCAAGCAGGGCCAGCAGACATGGTAGAGACAGGGTGACTGTCCCTCCCTTACAGACTTGGAAATGAGGCCTAAAGAAAAATACAGCCCTGGAAGGCCCCTACACCTCTAAGTCTCTCTCTATCTTTTGATCCGCTTCCCTCTTTCCTGGCTTCATCTTCAAATAGAATTTACCAGGAGAAATGGCCTCTTTCTCAGTATTTTTATCCGAGTATGGGATAGGACAGTGCCCTCCCTGGCCCAGCTCAGACCCTGTGCCATCCTTGTGGCCTGGGGTGTAGAGTACTCTGCTTGGCCAGGCTTAGGCCTTGTGTGCCCTCTGGAGCCAACCCCCTCCAGACACGGGGGCACCGATTATGAGGAACAGGGCTCCACAAGAGAAAATGAGGGCCAGCTACTAGAAAAGGAGTAGGGTGCTGGGAGGCAGAACTGTGGGGTGTCCTGACAGGGCCTCCAACTTCTTTTTTTTTTTTTTTAATTTTTGAGTTGGAGTCTCACTCTGTCGCCCAGACTGGAGTGCAGTGGCCGCTCCCGGCCACCGCAGCCTCGACCTGCTGGGCTCCGGTGATCCTTCCGCCTCAGCCTTCCAAGTAGCTGGAACTACAGGCGCGCACTACCACACCCGGCTAATTTTTGATTTATTGTAGAGATGAGGTCTCGCCAAGTTGCCCAGGCAGGTCTCAAACCCGCGGGCTCAGGCAATCCACTCACCTCGGCCTCCCAAAGGCGCAGGATTACAGGCTGAGCCACCAAGCCCGGCTGGGCCTCCAACTTCTAACCTATGACATAGAATGAGCATTCCTCCTCTTGCTACCTCTCAGAGCCTCCTCAAAGGAGATTGTGGAAGAAACTCTTTGCAGATAAAAAAAGCCAGGTGGGCTGGGTGCAGTGGCTCACACCTGTAATCCCAGCACTTTGGGAGGACGATGTGGGAAGATCACTTGAAGCCAGGAGTTCAAAACCAACCTGAGCAACATAGCAAGACCCCATCTCTACCAAAAATAAAAATAAAAAGGAAACTCCTGTTCAACAAATAGCACATAACATAAAGCTAAAACATCACACAGACTGGGAAACGATGTTTGCCACACATACAAGAAAGAAGTAACCTTACAGAATTTGTATATAAAGAGCTCCTGCAGACCAATAAGAAAATTAGATAACCAAAAAGAATAATGGATGAGGGTTGAGGACCAGCATTTCCCAGAGGAGACCATACTGGCAGCGACAAAATGCTCAAGTTCCCTAGAAACTGGAGAAATGAGACTCAAACCAGCAAGACCCAATTCAGTCCAGTCACATGTGCAAAAATTAAAGGCTGCTGCTGGGAGGGTCGGGAGGACATGAGGCCGTGGGGACCCCCGGGTACTGCTGGGTAGATACACAGAGCATGCAGGAGTTACACAGCCACCGAACTGCAACATGGAAACTAGCACAGCCACTCTGGGGGAGATGTACAAACCCTTGGGTCCCCAAACCAGGGATGTGTGGGCAGATGGTTTTACCCAAGACCTCACAGGGTCACCCATCCCAAGTGGGTCTTGATGTAGATTCTCTTATTGTTGTCATTGAGTCAGAGTCTTACTCTGTTGCCTAGTCTGGAGTACAGTGACACAGTCATAGCTCACCTCGATCTTCTGGTCTCAGGCGATCCTCCCACCTCAGCCTCCTGAATAGCTGGAACTATAGGTGTGTGCCAACCATGCCTGGCTAATATTTTGATTTTTCTGTAGAGACAAAGTTCACTATGTTGTCTAGGGTGGTCTCAGACTCCCAGGTGCAAGCAATCCTCCTTCCTTTGGCCTCCCAAAGTGCTGGGATTACAGGCACGAGCTACCTCACCTGGCCTTGGTGTGGATTCTTACTCCTGTTCTCCTACTGCAGACCCGTAATAAGCCAGACCCTGAGATGCAAGTAGGTACCCCAGTGCTCACATGCCAGTCTGGTCTGCTCCTCAGAGATCTAAGGGTCTGTAGCATTGACAGTGGCAGAGGAACCCCCTCTACCCACACCTCGCACAGGGTCGAGGTGGCTCTTCTGTGTCCCTCTTTCTGTTTGCTCCTGTATGGAAAGCAGCTTGGGCGCTAGGCGTTGAAACCACATGGCAAGTGGCTGAGAAATGAAGCGACTTTGTTTATTCCCATGTTTACTAGACTTTACCATGTACCAGGCCCCAAGACAGGAACCAGAATTCTCTGAGTCATACACAGTCCCTGCCCTCAGGGAGCCTCAGCTGGCAGGGAAGGTGAGTGAGCGCACAGAGGCTTACATTCTGTCCAGCCAGGAGAGGGGTGTCAGGCATAGCAGGCAAGAGGAAGACTCCAGAAAGGAACCTCGAGATGGGTCTCTCTTTTTTTTTTTGAGTCAGAGTCTCACTCTCGCCCAGTCTGGAGTACTGTGGCATGCTTATGGCTACCACGGTCTCAACCTGCTGAGCTCAGGCCATCCTTCTACCTCAGCCTTCTAAGTAGCTGGAAATACAGGCGCACGCCACCATGTCTGGCTAATTTTTGGGTTTATTGTAGAGACGAGGTCTCACCAAGTTGCCCAGGCTGGTCTTGAACTCCTGGGCTCAGGCAATCCTCTCACCTCTGCCTCCCAAAGTGCTGGGGTTACAGCCATGAGCCACCATGCCTGGCCTTCAAGATGGATCTCCAGGGGCAGGAGGGTAGGTTCTGAGGAAGAGGATAGTATTTGCAGAGACACCCAACAGAACATGTCTTTTTTTTTTTGAGACACAGTCTTACTCTGTTGTGTAGGCTAGAGTACAGTAGCACAATCCTCCTGGCTTCTGGGCTTAGGCGATCCTCCCACCTCAGCCTCCTCAGTAGCTGGGACTACAGGCACTTGCCACCAAGCCTGGCTAATTTTTGTAGAGACTAGGTCTTGCTATGTTGCCCAGGCTGGTCTCAAACTTCTGGGCTCAAGCGATCCTCCCACCTCAGCCTCCCAAAGTACTGGGATTGCAGGCATGAGCCACTGCCAATGTGACATGTTTTATGAAGGCCACGTGGCCTCCTCTGACAGGCACCGGACTCCCCGGCAGGCTGAGGTGAGCCATTGACTTACTGAGAGCAGAAGGGGAAGACCCTTCTTCCATCATCCGGAGCCTAACTGCCTCCATGACTCCTAGACCTTCTCTTCCTGTGGACCACCAACCTGTCCTCTGTCCTTGCCCCGTGTGCCTCTCGAGCGTGGGCCACTGAAGCCTCAGGCTCGCAAGTCACGCTGCTGCAGGGACCCTCCTGACATCATCCGCCCAGTGCTTCTTCCAAAGGCCCCACACTGCCACCCTGGTCACCACGGCAACCGTGGGGTCAGCCCCTAGTGAGCCACCCGCCGGCTGTCCCTGGCAGATGGCGTCATTGTGGAGCTTCAAAGGCCCTTGTCACAGGGCAGCAGATGCAGTGATGACGCCAGCACCCAGACACACACACACACAGGGCGCAGAGATCCCCTGGAGCCCAGGCGGGCGGGGTGGGGCCAGGAGAAAGCCGAGGCACCTGCTGTGGCCACTCTTTCTCTCTTTTGAAAACCCAGCCCTTGCGTGCAAAGCCCCTGAGCCCCCAGCAGGACCTCCGCAAATAGTTCTTGAGAGCCTGCCACTGAAGAGGGGGCTTAGGCTGGCCATCGGGGCAGAGGCAGCTGTGGGTGGGCTGGAATGAGGCCTGGGTGAGGCGGGTGAGGCTGCCCAAATGTCGCCAAGGTGTCAAGTACCTGGCTTGTTCTGGTTGGTCCTTACAGGGTCTTCGTTGTGCAGAAAGGACTTGTGTATGCCCCACCTGGGAGCTTCCTCCTCCAGGAAGTCTTCAGCCAGGCTGCCTGGAGCACCTCTCCCTGGGCTCTCCGGGCATGTTGCTCAGACCTACGCCTTGTGCTATGCCAGAAAGTTCCACCACCGAGGAATAAACAGTCCTCGTGTTTGATGACATACATAACCTCCTTCAGAGTGCTCCCTCCCACACGCACATGTGTCCCCTGCCACTTGCCGAGATTGTCTTCAAGTGGGGTGTGGTGACAGATTGGGTGGCTTCGGAGGTGTCAGATCTGTTTCCTCGCAGGGTTTATTTTATTTTAGAGGAACAGCCAGAAGTCACAAAGTACCCATTTGGGCCAGCGTGGCTGTGACAGGCTTTGCACACTAATGAGTCCCGGATGGCAATGACACTCTCCTGGCGAATGCTGCTCAAGCCTATCATCTTCTCAAGTGGGTTCAGGGTCCTGGCCAAGACTCAGCCTGGGGATGAGGGGTGCTGTCCTGAGCGAGCCCGGCTAATTCCTCCCTCACACAAGTACCCCAGACTTCAGGTTACACTTCATGGTTGCCCACTCTGACCTACCTCTGTGTCCCCAGCATCCAGCACAGCACCTGGCCAGGCCACAGGAGCTTAGAAATGTATAAGGGACAA